GCGCTTAACCAACTGAGCCACCCAGGCGCCCCTCCTCCTGTCGTTTTTCATCTGCAATTCAGGCTAAATGATGGCATCCATCTGGAACATGTTATTTGAGAGAGGGGACGAAGATCAGATCACCAATGAGAAACAGGGCCTCTTAAAGCTTTTGCGACATGCCACACGTTATATTTATTTATATTTCATTGACCAAAGCAAATTGCATGGGAAATCCTGATGTTAGTAGGGTGGAGAGGTAATCACGTTATATAACTGTTCACGAAGGTCATATTGGCATTTTCATACAATTTCTATAGCATGAATGAGTTGCAGCTCTCATGGAAATGGGTACTGCTATGTAATCATATGGTGGGGAAGCAAATAACTAGGAATAAGCAAAAATAAGAATGGAAACCATCATCTGTAACCTTACATCTATGAAAACATGCACCTTGCATTCTCAAGAAATCACTTTTACAAGCTGTGTGTCCACACATAAGCACTCAAACATATCAGTGTACGTAGATTAAAGAACCAAAAATAATTTTCAAATGACATAGTATTAAATTCGACTTGATAATTTTTATTTTTATTCTAGGTATATTAAAGCAAGTGAAAGATTACATTAAACAGTGTAGCAAATGCCAGGAGAAGCTAGATCGGTCCCGTCCAATATCAGATACTTCAGAAATGTTAGAAGAATTGGGACTAGACCTTGAGTCTGGAGAAGAAAGTAATGAATCAGAGGATGATCTGAGCAATTTTACTTCAGCTCCAACTGCAGCCTCCAAGCCTGCAAAAAAGAAGCCAGTGTCCAAACATGAACTTGTATTTGTAAGTAGAACTTTCCATTCAGCTTTAACATTTGTAACTAATGTATTAGGTTTGTAGTCTTCGTGAATTTTTTCTTAAAGTACCAAAACTGCTTGACTGTTGAAAATTTAAGTAAGTCTTTAAAATTTAAGTAAGTCTCAAGTAATACACTCTGTTACTACATACACTAAAAGTATGCTAAGACTGCTTTTTCATTAATTATAATATTCCTGTAGTTAAGTCTCTTTAGAATGTAGGTTGTTGGTTTGTTGTTAATCATTCTTCTTGTCTTATTTTATTTCTTAAATGTTTGTTTATTTTTGAGAGAGCACAGGCGTGTGCCCGTGAGAGGAGAAGAGGAGCAGAGAGAGAGGGAGACAGGATCTGAAGCGGGCTCTGTGCTGAGAGCAGAGAGCCCAATAGGGGCTTAAACTCACGAACTGTGACGTGAGATCATGACCTGAGCCAAAATCAGACGCTTAACAGACTAAGCCACCCAGATGCCCCTCTTCCTGCCTTTTTAAATGGTATATTGGTGGGGCACCTGGGTCGCTCAGTGGGTTAAGCATTGGACTCTTCATTTCATCTCAGGTCCTGATCTTGAGGTTCATGAGATTGAGCCCCATGTTGGGCTCTGTACTGACAGTGAAGAGCCTTCTTGGCATTCTCTCTCTCCCTCTTTCTCTGCCTGCTTCTCTCTCTGTCTCTGTCTCTCTCTTTCTCTCTGAAAATTAAATAAATAAATAAATAAATAAATAAATAAATAAATAAATAAATGGTATATTGGTACAGGTAGACAATACGTTTCTGGAAACAATCTTTAGGTCATGAAACAAGGTAAATTAAACTGGCTAGGTCTTGGGGCACCTGGGTGGCTCAGTCAGTTAAGTGTCCAGCTTCAGCTTGGGTCATGATCTCACAGTTTGTGAATTTGAGCCCTGCTTCGGGTTGTCTCTGTCTCCTTTTCTCTCTCTCAAAAATAAACATTAAAAAAAACAAACAAACTGGCTGGGGCTTCTGGGTGGCTCAGTTGGTTGAGCGTCTTGACTTCAACTCAGGACATGATCTCACGGTTGGTGGGATCACTGCATTGGGTTTACAGCTGTCAGCATAGAGCCTGCTTTGGATCCTCTGTCCTCCTCTCTCTAGCCCTCCCCTGCTTACAGTCTCTCTTTCTCGAAAATGAATAAATGTTAAAAAAAAAAAATTGGCTAGGTTTTGTTTTTTTTTTACCTGCATTACTTTCATATACCATTAAGTTTCTGACTAGTAAATAAAGGCAGCAAGAAGTGAGATGCAGGAACATGGCAGAAAATAGTAAGAATGCTCTTTTAATTTAAATATATAGGTAATAAAGAATATCTGGCGGCTATTTATTCATATTAATTAATGGTGTCTTTAAAAGTGAATAATGTGTCACGTTTTAAATTCTGTTAAAGGTAGAAATACAGATGATACATAATACAACTCTTGGTCTTAAACTTATTTTGATAGGTTGACACCAAAGGAGTGGTGAAACGTTCTTCTCCAAAACATTGTCAGGCTGTCTTAAAGCAGCTCAACGAACAGAGACTCTCCAACCAGTTCTGTGATGTTACTTTGTTAATTGAGGGAGAGGAGTACAAAGCTCATAAATCTGTTCTGTCAGCTAATAGTGAATATTTTCGAGATCTTTTTATTGAGAAAGGAGCTGTTTCCAGTCATGAGGCAGTGGTGGATCTTTCTGGTAAGAATTTTCTAATGCTATTGCTTTTTGTTTGTAAGTACCTACTGGAAGGTGGGTGTGTGTCTGTCTTAGAAACTCAGGGTGTGTGCTGCAGTGGGAGAAGCCCACTTAGAGCAGCAGACTAAGGCGAATTGAAGAAGCCCTTCTTCTAGCAAGCTTTCCAAGGTGCGGTTCTGGAAAAGGCTGTCATTTTCTGTCACTACCTCTTAGGTGAGACAGATGTAGTGGCAGAAAAATTTCTGACCTTTACATGGCTAAAAACAGTTTGAGAGAAATACATAACTGCATCAGTGTTATATTACACTAAGTGAATATGTTACTTAAAAATTGATTGTTAAAAAAATTGCCTATATCTGTGTTGTGGAACATAATAATAGAGCACTTTTGTAAGTCTTTTTTATTTTTTAAGATTAATTATTAGAATTCATTAGGTTCAGTAAACTGTTAATGTACAATAATCAAAATTCCAAGTGTGGCTTTTTTTCTTTGATTTTATTATTGTTATTATAAATGAATAATTTGACTTTCTTTTGACTCACTAGAACTTATATATTGGCTTAGGAGTCAACAAATGAAAATTTAGGAAGAATTAAATAGGTAACCGTATTTATACATTTCTTGTAATATTAACTTACTGTAACTCTTGGTTACTGAATTACTGACATGACTGTGTGAAATATCATTTCCTTTTTCTGAAACAAAAAAATGACTTTATCCAGATTTATAAATACTTACCTAGTTAACCACTGATCCTTTTCTACCTTACGCTTTTTAAACTTATTCTGGAAAGACAAATAACATATTTTTCCTTAGCAGTAGCTATGTGTTGAATTACTAGAAAATATATATTAAGTATCCACTATGTGCGAGGAACTAGCGTAGGCTCTGGGGATATAATGGTGAGCAAAAACTTTCATGGATCATAGAATTGTATTTATTACATTTGAGATTAGTGATAACTTACTTTTTTTCTGGGTTTGGTGACTCAAGAGAAAATATGTCTTCTACTAGGCCCTCTGAATAATAAAACTCATCATGGATATGGTTGTTTTTTTTTTTTTAATGTTTATTTTTGAGAGAGAGAGCATGAGCAGGGGTGGGGCAGAGAGAGAGGGAGACATAGAATCTGAAGCAGGCTCTGCATTGTCCATGCAAAGGCTGCTGGGGAGGCTCGAACCCACGAACCATGAGATCTTGCATGACCTAAGTCGAAGTCAGACACTCAACCGACTGAGCCACCCAGGCACCATGGATAATAGTCTTTTGATATAAGTTAGCGTTGGAATTTTTTTCTTACTTTTCATGCATCTGAAGCAGAAAGAGAGAAGTGTATGAATATTGCTCTTGTTCAGTTTCTCAGCAGCTTACAGCAAAAGAAGTGGCTGCCCTATATTAACTGCAGTGCAGCATCCTAATATTCCAACAAAAAGACACATTTGTTCATCATTCTATATGCTTATGTTTATATATTGTCCAGCAAATATAATGTAAATTAATAGCAGGTTAAGTAGGTAAATTTTATTTGGTTCAAATACTAAGTGAAGAGTATAAAATATGTGTACAGAATTCAAAAATAATGTATTTTTTAATTACCTAGTTAATGTAGTTGAATTAATCATTGTTTTCCTTTGTTAACGCTTATAAAAAATTTTCTGTACTAAGTCATAAAGCTATGTTCATAGATTATCTTTTTAAATTTTCATAGTTTTCTTTCATATTTAAGTTTTAGTCTGCTCACAATTTTATTGGTGTGAGATAGATGTTTGACTTCATTTTTTCCCCATTTGATCATCACTTGTCTCAGAACCCTTTAGTGAAGACTCCATCCTCTTCTTGCCAGTTGATGAATTTCCACATATTTGGTACCAGTTCTAGGCATCGTTCTAGTCTATAGGTGGTCTCTCTTACGGTATTTTCACCTGATCTTAATTACCATAGCTTTATAATAAGGAAAGTCTCCCACCTTTATTACTCAAGTGGATCATAGTTTCATAACCCTTTGCTCTTCCATATAAACTATAAAAGCAGCTTGTCACAGTCACACAAAATAGTGTATTTTGATAGAGATAACATTGAATTAATAAACTTTTAGAGATTTACCCATAGCAGTCTCAAACATCTTTTGTAGGATTATTTCAGGGTACTTTATATGTTTTGAAAATGTTATTTTTTTCTTAAAATTATGTAATTTCAGATTTATTTTTGGTGTATATTTTATATACAGTAATACTGCCAAATTCCTTTAGTCATTCAGTCATTTATACATTCTTCGAGGTTTTCCATATAAAAGAAATATATTATTTGCTAATAGTAATGGTTTTGTTTCTACCTTTCTAGTCTTTATATTTTGAAATTGTTTTCTTGCTTTACAGTGCTGTCCCGGACCTCAAAAAAATAGTTGAATAGAAATGGTGGAAGAGGGTTCGCTTACCTTGTTCCCATTTCTAAAGAAAGTGCTTTTATCATTTAGTAAATGTTTTAAATAGATAACGCTTTATTTAATGTTAAGGAAATTCTCTCTAAAAATGGTGTTGGTTCATAACTCCCTGAGGAGGTTCCAAAGTGTAATCTAAAACTGGCCCCCATGTATGGAGGGTGCCTGGGTGGCTCAGTCAGTTAGTGTCCGACTATTGATTTTGGCTCAGGTCAATGATGTCTCATGGTTCCTGAGATCAAGCCCCATGTCAGGCTCTACACTGACAGTTCGGAGCCTACTTGGGGTATTCTCTCTCTCTCTCTCTCTCTCTCTTTCTCTCTTTCTCTCCCTCCCTCCCCCCCCCTCCTGCTCACACATGCACTGTCTTTCTAAATAAATAAATAAAACTGGCCCTCTGTACACAGAGGCAGCGAGAGACTGAAGAAAGAAACCACTTCAGATTGGTAGGTGGCAGGTTTCATAGGTAAGGGAACTTATGTGTGAGGATTGTCTTGGGTGGCTGCAAGATGAATAGATCTCTGTGCCAGAATGTTAAAAGTTTATACACACACCTTAACTATGTTTAGTTATGTATGCAGGAGTCCTTAACTGGGCTCAGTCATGTACCCAGTCCAGATAGCCTCAATACCACATTTCTCTCTCAAGACTATGCAGATGGAACACATTCCAGGAACAGGGAGGGGCCTCCAGTTGCCTGGGTCAAGCTCAAGGGTCAACTGGAAGTCAAATCTTGATGACCTTCTCCCACAGTGTTGATTTATTACATATTTTTTTCTGTATTTATTGAAACCATTTTTATTTTTACTATTCTGTTAATGTGGAAGTTACAGTGATTTTCCGTTAAACCAGTTTTTCATTCTTGAAATAAATCCAGTTCAGTCATGTTATATTGCCTTTTGTGTAAGTTGCTGTTTGATTTACTAATGTTGTCTAGAGTGTTTTCATGTATATTCATGAGTAATTCTTGTTTTTTCTTTTTCATACTATTTCGTGTTTTGATATCAGAGTTGGTCTAGTCTTATAAAATGTATGCTCCCTCCAATTTTTAGATATGCTGAAATTGTTAACTGTGTGATTAGAATTACCTGTTTCTTGAATGTTCAGTAGAATGGTGGCTAAAATTGCCTGGGCCTGTAGTGGAGTTGAGGGGAAGATTTTTTAAATACTAGTCTGACACGTTTAATGGTTAGAGAAGTATTCAGTTCTCTATTTCATCTTAAGTAACTTATAGAAAGTTACATTTTTTCCAGAATTTGGTTCATTTCATCTAAATTTTCAAGTTTATTGGCACAAAATTTAATGTAATTTACTTTATTTTATTTTTTGGTTGGCACAAAATATTAAATACTACTGTCTTCTACACATTTCCTGTCAATGTAGATACTTCTTTTGTTCTTTGATATGGGTTATTTGTGCCTTTTCTCATTTTTTTAACCTTTTTTTTTTTTTAATGTAAGCTCTACGCCCATTGTGGGCTTGAACTCAAGATCTCCAGATCAAGAGTCACATGACTGACTGAGCCAGCCAGGTGCCCTTTCTTTCTTTCATTTCTCTTTTCCCTTTTCTTTTTTTCCTTTCCTTTCCACCCCTTACATTTTTCTTACTAGATGTTTACTGACTCCTTTTTTTTTTTTTTTTTAATCCTACCAATTCTGGCCCGTTGCCTGTTTTTGTAAATAAAGTTTTATTGGGGACAGCCACACCCATTCATTTTCTTTTTCTATGACTGCTTTTGAGCTTAGAAAGGCGGAATTTAAAAATTGCTACATAAACCAGTGACCCATAAAGCCTAATGTATTGTTTACCTGGCTCTTTACAGAAAAACTTTGCTTATCACTTAGCCAAAACATAATTTTTTTTAAGTTAAAAGAACTGTTATGCATATATAATCCAAAAGTTTTATGTAGTTAACTGAGGAAACCAGTAAGATATTAAAACTTTATAACAGAGGGGCGCCTGGGTGGCGCAGTCGGTTAAGCGTCCGACTTCAGCCAGGTCACGATCTCGCAGTCCGTGAGTTCGAGCCCCACGTCGGGCTCTGGGCTGATGGCTCAGAGCCTGGAGCCTGTTTCCGATTCTGTGTCTCCCTCTCTCTCTCTGCCCCTCCCCCGTTCATGCTCTGTCTCTCTCTGTCCCAAAAATAAATAAACGTTGAAAAAAAAAATTAAATAAAAAAAAACTTTATAACAGAATTTGAAGAAAAAATTCTTTCAGCCAATCAGTGGTACAGGTACAACACTGCTCTTAACACTTAATAGTCTTTTTTACCTCTTACCAAGTTTTGACTAATTTTTCTTAACACACCTTTTGACAAACAGCTGTTATTTTCTTACTAATTTCTTCTCATTAATCTTCCTTTTATTTTATTTGAACATTATTGTCTTTTTATTTTTTTAAAAGTAAACTCTTGGGGCACCTGGGTGGCTCAGTCTTTTGAGCATCCATCTCTTGATTTCAGTTCATGTTATGATCTCACAGTCCTGAGATCAGGATCTACCAAGCCCAAGGCCCCAGCACTGGACCTGGACCCTGCTTAAGATTCTCTCTGCCCCTCCCTCACTTACACACATGCAAATAAAATAAAGTAAGCTCTTCACGCAACATGGGGCACAAACTTACATCCTCCAGATCAAGAGTCATATGCTCTACCAACTGAGACAGGAGTCCCTGTTACTTTGTTTTTGGTTAAGTATAATCCTTAACCCATTAACTCCCAGCCGTTCCAACATTCTAGTTTAAGAGTTCCAGGCTATAAATTTCCCTTTAATACTGCAGTTCTGTTGCTTTTAATCCTACATGTGGTCTATTTTTATAAGTTTCATTTTGCTTGAATAGAACGTAAATGTTTTTAGTTGGAAGCAATATTCAATATATTGTGGCTTGTTAATTCTTTACTGATTATTTTGTGTGCTTGATCTCTCAGGTTTTTATTTAAAGTTTACTTGTTTTGGGAGAGAGAGAAAGCCCATGTGCATGAGAGTGTTGAGTGGGGGAGGGACAAAGAGAGAATCCCAGATAGGCTATGCAGTGTCAGTGCAGAGGCCCACGCAGAGCTTGAACCCACAAAACATGAGATCATGACCTGAGCCACACAGCCACCCTAGATCTATCAGTTATAGACAGAGGTGCTTTAGAGTATTAACTAGTGTGATTCATCTGTTACTGAGTTTCTTCAGTTTTTGTCTTATGTATCTTGAGGACGTATTATTAGATACAAAACAGTTTAGAATTTCCTTTTATCATTACATAATGACCCTCTTTATGTTTAGTAATACTTTTTACCATTAAAATCTTGTAAACAGTATTTTTTTATTTTTCTATTTTGACTACTTTAGTAAATATTTTTTAGGTATGTAAACAATATTTTCATAATTATTTGCCTAGGATATTTTCCATCTTTTTTTTTTCAATCTTTTTGTATCTTGAGGTTTTAGATTTCTCTTTAAACATCATCATATTTATGGATTTTGTTCTTAATCCAATATGGGAATCTTTGACTTTTAACTGTCCTGCATAGAAATTGTTGGACTTCCTGAACCCAGCAATTGAGATTGTTTTTCTCAGTTGAGAAAAAGTCTCAGCTAGTATCTCTTCAAAAATTGTTTCTGCCTCAATTTCTCTTTTCTACATTTCTGAAACTCGAGTTAGATAGACATTCTCACTTTATATTCTGTGTCTCTTAATTTCTTTTATATTTTGGTCATCTCTGTGTAGGATATTCTGGAAAATTTTAGTTCACCTACTCTTTAGCTTTGTTTAATTTGCCGTTAAATTCATTTACTGAGGTTTTTTTTTTTTTATTCCAGTCTCTTTTCTATTTTTATTATTTTATTTTATTTTTTATTTATTTTTTTAAGTAAGCTCTGTGCCTAATATGGGGTTTGAACTCACATACTTGAGATCAAGAGTTGCATGTTCTGCTGACTGAGCCATCCAGGGGCCCCTCTTTTCCATTTTTTAGAGGCTTTATGTAGTTCTTTTCATGTATCTCTTTTAGGGGGCTACTTTTTATGACCTTTTGCTCTTTACTGGTGTTATGCCACTGTTGACTTTTCTATATGTGATCATAGCAATAAAAATCTTTGCTGGTTTGATTCATGCTGTTTGTTTCCACTAGCTCTTATTCATGGTGCCTTGTTTGTAATTAAAAATCTGTGCACACTGAATTTATATTCTTCAGAACTTTGTAGGAAACTTTGAGTTTTGGGTTGAAAGTGTTTTCCACAGAGAAAACATTTGGTTCTTAAGATTCTGAGGGCATTACCAGTCTGGGACTACTTTAAATTCTGAGCGTGAGGACTTTTTGACTACCAAAGTGCTATATAGTCAACAAAATATCCTACTAGATTAAGCCTGGTTTGAGGTCATGACTAATCAGGAAGGATTTCTTACCTGTTTCACTCAATGGTGGGGCACCAAGTATATTTAAAATAATACTTAAAAAAATTTTTATGTCCTATTTTTTTTTTTTTTAAGTAATTGGGTCAAATTAGGGTATGTTAGTCTGCCATACTGTTGGATGTGGAAATCCCTGTCATAATTCTTCTGTCTGTTGGTTCATAACTCTCCCATGAGCTTCCCTGGTGTAATGTGAAATTGGTCCCTGTACTCAAAAGGCAGGGAGAGACCAAAGAAATGGGCAAACCATTCCAGGTTGGTAGGTGGCAGTTTTAACAAGCAAAGGGCGCTTATGTATGAGGCTTGTCTTAGGTGGCAGCAAGATGAATGTATCTCTGCACCTGCCCACCAAATCTTAAAAGTTTGTAAGAGTCCTTAACTGGGTCCAGTCACATAAACTGTGTAGATATTTTCAGTATCACGTCACTATCTCAAGGTTATGTCCTTAGAGCAGTCTCTGGGAGCAGGAAAGGCAAGTGGAACTCACATTCCAGGGACAGGGAAGAAGGTGGGGAGCCTTTGAGTGCCCAGGGTCCATCCAGTTCATGTATCAGCTGGCAAATCTGTCTTTTTGATCACATTCCCTAACACCATCTATTACCAACCATTGTTGTCCTTTTGTTTTTTCTTTTTTTAGTTTTTAATTTTGGTAAACACAATATAAAATTTACCCTCCTCATTTTTTTTAATGTTTATTTTTGAGAGGGAGAGAGCGAACGTGAGCAAGGAAGGAGCAGAGAGACAGGATCTGAAGCAGACTCTGTGCTGACACCAGAGAGCCCGATGCGGGGCTCGAACTCACGAACCGAACCGTGAGATCATGACCTGAGCTGAAGTTGAACACTTAACAAACTGAGCCACCCAGGTGCCCCCGCCCCCCAGCCTTAATGATTTTTAAGTATACAGTTCACTATTGTTAATCATGTTCACATTGTTGTGTAATGGATCTCTGGAATTTTTTATTATCTTGCAAAATTGTTGTCATTTTGATTGTTTTGCAGAGTGTGTATATTGTATGTAAAAAGGCTAGGGGTAAAAACAAGATACTGAAATTATCTGCCTGTTATCTCTTGACAAAATTATGAATGATTTTTTTTTCCTTTGTGTTTTTGTATTTTATGGTAAACATGACTTGTGTCCTTGAAAAAAACTGTTTTATATATTTAAACTGTTACATGGAACAGTGTTAATTCTTTCATGGGAAATTTTTCTCATGACTTCAGACTTAAAAAGGTATAGATAAGGGGCACCTGGGGGACTCAGTCGATTGAGCGTGCAACTTCGCCTCAGGTCATGATCTCACGTCCGGGGTTCAAGCCCTGCATGGGGCTCTGTGCTGACAGCTCAGAGCCTGGAGCCCGCTTCAGATTCTGTATTCTGTATCTCCCTCTCTCCCTGCCCATCCCCTGCTCATGCTCGCTCTCTGTCTCAAAAATAAATAAACATTAAAAAAAATTTTAAAAGGTATAGGTAGAAGACCAAAATACATTATTTTGTTTGTGGGTTTTCTTCCCCCCGCACCACCTTTTTTTAAAGAAATACTTACCTCAAGCTTATTTAACTTGGTCTTATAATTTGTAGCAGGATTAACATGGCTTCAGCCTATTTAATTACCAACTTTCCTAGGATGGCTGAATTAGCCATGATCAACTGGAATGCTAATATATCTCACAGTTTAAGGCTTCTCTTCCTTGTTCATCATCTACTTCTATAAAAGGACTACATTTTATGTACCTTGAGTCAAAACTGAATAATACAGCAAATGTGAGTTTTTAAAAGGTTGCTTTGGCTCTTTATATTTTTGTAAAAGATCTTTAAGCTAAATTATGATATGAGAAAACAACGCATGGAATAAGTATAAGTTATATGCCACCTACTGCAAGAAGGAGGAATAAGATTATTTGCTTAATTGTATAAAGAAGCTCTGGAAAGCTATACAGATTCTTATACTGGTTAGGGAGATGGAGTTGGACTTATCACTGTTTTATCTTATTTTTGAATTATGAATATTGGCTTTTGTAAAATAGTGAAATATTGAGAACTTAGAAAACTGATCTCATTTTCTCACATAAAATGACAATGTAATACCTCATGTGTATGGTAATTATTTCCTTCCTTAAGCCAGTAATACGCAAACTGTAGCCCACAGAGCAATCCTCATTTCCCTCTCTTTTTGTAAAGTATATTGGAACACAGCCATGTATATTTGCATATGTGTTATCTGTGGCTGTACTTTTCAGCTACAGTGGCAGAGTTGAGTAGTTGAAACAGACACCTTATGGCCTGCAATAATTATTAACTGATTCTTTACAGAAAAACTTTGCTGACCCCCTGTGTTAGATCTTATTTTTAAATTTTCAGTAGTCAAACCCTTTGTTCACAATCATTTTTATATGGACTTCTGTTATTAAAATATATGGTTATACTTACAGAAGTGAGGTTAGGGGACAGGTTGGTTGAACCCTGCCTACTCACCTGCCTCCCTTTCTTTTTTTACCCTCCATTCTCCAGCAGCTGTTTCTTGAGGGGAATTTGAGGAACCCCCGGGGTTCTAAGGAGTACAGTTTGAAAATGACTGCCTTACAGCAACTCTTTGAGGTAGTAAGTCTGATACTATTTTCTATTTTAGGTATTGAGAGACTCGGCTCATTGAAGTGAGTTAGTCAAGGTTTATTAAGCAACCAGAACACAAAACAAATCCACAGTGTTTAATTGCAGAATAAATGGTCATATTTGCCTTTATATTCTATTTTATATATCATAATCATGTATTAATTGTTATTCTAAGGTGTTTTAGTAGACCTTTAACTTTTTTGTACCCCCATTTTTTTTGTTCCATGCAGGTTTTTGTAAGGCAAGCTTCCTTCCTTTATTGGAATTTGCCTACACTTCTGTGCTAAGTTTTGACTTCTGTAGCATGGCTGATGTAGCCATCCTGGCTCGTCATCTTTTCATGTCGGAAGTTTTAGAAATCTGTGAGAGTGTGCATAAACTAATGGAAGAGAAGCAGCTAACAGTATATAAGAAGGGTGAAGTACAAACAGTTGCATCCACCCAGGACTTACCAGAACAAAATGGAGGCACTGTGCCTCCTGTGGCTAGCAACGAGGGGACCACAACATTATCTACTGAACTTGGGGACTGTGAAATTGTACTATTGGTGAATGGAGAATTGCCAGAAACTGAGCAGAATGGAGAGCTAGGACAGCACCCTGAACCCCAGGTTTCTTCAGAAGCTGAAGCCACTCTGTCACCTGCAGGCTGTATAACTGGTTCCCATCCTGAAATGGAGTCTGTTGATTTAGTAACAAAAAATGATGAGACAGAAGTAGAAACTTTAAACAGAGAAGATAGCGCACCTTCTGATATTAATCCCAAACTTTCAAAAGAGAATGTGATCAGTAACTCTCCAGAAAACAGTGATATGGGAAATGACCCATCAAGTGAAGATATCTGTGCTGAAGACATTCCAGAGCAAATGCAGAACCTTAGCCAGTCTTTAAGAGATCAGGAAAATCTAGTTGCACTGACAGCAAAGCCAGACCTTAGCACTGATGATGAAACTTACAGAAGCAGACTTCGGCAGCGTTCTGTTAATGAAGGGGGATATATCCGACTACACAAAGGAATGGAGAAAAAGCTACAGAAACGGAAAGCCATTCCCAAGTCAGCAGTTCAACAGGTATGACGAAGAGTTGACCTTTGTAGTTTTACCTTTAAGTAAAAAACATTCTATTCATCAACTTATACCTGTGGTGAAACTATTTGGGGAGGAAGGGCAGTAGGTGCAGGAAAGCAACTTAATGTTTTAAATACCGGTATTAATAATGTAATGCCAGTTTGAAATATTATATGACTCATGACTTTAAAAATCAAAATGGCTGTACTTACTTAGATTGTGTTTTCTATCCCTTACTTAGGTAGCCCAGAAATTAGTTCAAAGAGGGAAAAAAATGAAACAGCCAAAAAGGGATACGAAAGAGAATACTGAAGAGGCAGCATCCCATAAATGTGGGGAATGTGGAATGGTTTTTCAGAGACGATATGCCCTTATAATGCATACACTGAAACATGAAAGAGCTAGAGATTACAAATGTCCGGTAAGTAATTGGAAAGCTAATTAAAGATGATTTATCTAACTTCATGATAAATAGAACCCAGTTTTGCTGCTTCATTGTTATTCTACTACTTGTAGTCTCTGTGTTTCTCTTTCTCCCTTATATTGGTATAAGAGTCATCTTTGATTTGTACACGTCATTTCCTTGACAAAGAAAAACAAAAACAGTGACCTGTCTTTGCTTCTTCCTGATACCCTAGTAAGACGAGTAAAATTATCACTGAAAAAATATAAGCTCAGGGGTGCCTGGCATATGACTCTTAGAGCATATGACTCTTAATCTCAGGGTTATTATTATAAATTTGAGGCCCCCCTTGTGGGTAAAGATTACTTGAAGATAAGTAAATAAACTTAAAAAAACAATAAATAAATTTAAAGAAAAATGTAAGTTCATAAAAGAGTAAAGAGGAAATCAACTATATCCTGGACCCTGATAAATGGAGGTTGTAGCTGATTTAACAGATTTAAAAGGGCTCATTCCAGGCTTTCAGTGGGGAAAGCTAAGAATCCATCTGAATTGTATTGCAGAACTACCAAATGCCTCAGGAGTTGGTGTTATATAGCTACTTTGAAAGCAGAAGTGAATCTGGTTGTTAGAAAATTTTGTAAGAAGCAGTTAAGTCACAACCACTCCCTCAGCCAAAGATCCATCGTCTACTCTCTGGAAGAGCTAAAACCATGACTGTTTTGGGGAACACTGCATACAGTGAACGTGAATGTACTATACCCAAAACAAGGAAAAGGAAAACCTTATTTACTGAATATTGAAAGCCTTCAAGTCCCAGAATGTTAGCAGTCAGACCCTTAACCCAAAAGCAAGAAAGTTTCTCAGAGATGAGAAATCCGAAGTGCAATAACAAAGGACCTGAAGATAGTGCTGACTAAAGCCAGTGGTTGACAACTCCCCGCCACCCCCCACATACTTACACAGAAATTCCAATCAATTTTTTAACATTCTGAAAGATGAGTAGATATCAGGGATCATCAGATTCAGGAATAAATATTTCAAGGAAAAAAAGCAACTTTGAAGAATCCACAAATACAAAAATCTCAGAAAAATTGGGAAATAGACTAAATCTCTCAGAAATAATGCAGAAGACCAGTTAGGAAATGAAAGTGAAGGAATTTAGAGAATTGGTGTAGGATATCTAATATCCAGATAACACCAAAAAGAGAACACAGAGATCAGGAAATCATTGGTGCAATAAAGAAAAATATCAGAATTTAGAAGTTCCCTTATGGGGGCACCTGGGTGGCTCAGTTCAGTGTTCAACTCTTGGTTTCGGCTCAGGTCATGATCCCAGAATTGTGGGATTAAGTGCTCCACGCTACAAATGGAGCTTGCTTGGGATTCTTTATCTCTCTCCCTCTCCCCTGCTTGCGCTCTCTCCCCCTCTGCCCCCTCTCCTGCTTCCTCTCTTTCTCTAAGATTTAAAAAAAAAAAAAAGTTGTGAAACAGGGCATGTTGCAGGCCCTGAACCATGGATGAAAGTAAATCTATATCAAGATAAATTATGAAATCTTCTAATTAAGGGACAAAGAAAATCTCTTATAAATAACAATAGAGAAAACAGATGGTCAGACTCATAGAAAAGATAAAGATCAGAATGGCTTCAGGCTTTTCAGCAGCAACAGTGGAAGCTAAAAGACAAAGAAAAGCATAATGTCTTTAAAATTCTAAAGGGCCCTGGTTTCTAACTTAAAATCTGTAACCAAACTATGAGTTATTTGTGATGGTAGATAAGAACAGTTTCAGACATGCAAGGTCTCAAAAGTTTTACCTCCCAGACTCCCTTTCTCAGGAAGCTATTTGCAGAGGTGTTCCACTAAAGTGAGAAAGACCTGGAAAACCGGGAAACATGGGGTCCAATTCTACAGAGTCCAAGCATAGGAAACAACCAGTCCAGGTTGGAGCAGGACAAAATGCTTTGAAGGAGGTCTCTTTCATAGGTGATATCTTTAAATCTCCCCTCAGTAGACAATTGAGGGAAAGGTTTGGTGATGAATAATCAGTAAATACAAACAGAAATAAGCAAAAAAAAAAAAAAAAAAAAAAACAAAAAGAAGGGAAAGAGAATCATAGTGTACTCTGTGGCCCAGCTGTAATAGTAATTACTTCATTGAAAAAATGTGAATGTAGAAATTAATCAAAACTACAACATAGCTGTATTGAGAAAATAAGGTAATAGGCCTGCATATGTGTAGGGAGTGGAAGGGTGAAGGGAGAGAGTCATCATCCATTATTCATGTTACTTAGAGTTACCAAGGTAAGCAAGCATCATGAGAGAGTTAAAAAACAATGGCAGAAATAGAGCAAGAGACGAGTTTTATTTATTTAAAAAAATTAAATATAGGTTGTGAGCATATATAACTTTGATTTTTTTAAAAGAATGAACAAAATATTTCATGAATCCCTAACAACTACAGAATAAAATCCAAGGACCATCAGAGTTTTTTCTGCTTTTCCAACCCCTAGTTTTGCTCCACCTAACAATTTGTAGTACTTCTATTGATAGCATTCTTGTTGACATCCTACCGTTCCTTCTAGATAGACCTAGTCTCCTCATTGATGCCTTTGTCTTTTGCTTCAGTTACTCCCTCTTCCTAAATACTTCACTCTTTCACATGTAAATCCTGTTTCTGTGGTTAGATTATAAACCTCTTCAGAGTAGAGTCTGGGTCTTTAACCCCTTTCATCCTTATGTCTGATACCTAGCATATCATCTTTTATATAGTGTGTGGTTTTTTTGATTTATATAATCATAACAAAGAAATGGGAACTTGAAATAGGAGTCAGGTGTCACTTAACATTTGTTATGGAACTACATTTAGACAGAATTTTATTTACTTTTCCTTTTAGTTGTGTAAAAAACAGTTTCAGTACAGTGCCTCCTTGCGAGCACATCTTATTCGACATACCAGAAAAGATGCACCCACTTCATCTTCTTCCAATTCCACGTCTAATGAGGCATCAGGAACATCGTCTGAGAAGGGGAGAACCAAACGAGAATTTATATGTTCCATATGTGGAAGGACATTACCTAAATTATATTCTCTTCGAATACACATGTTAAAGCATACAGGTGTAAAGCCACATGCATGCCAGGTAAAGCCATGACATTTACTTTGTTATGTAAAGAAAATTTGAACTTAACTAGTGATGAGACTGGTTGATTCTGGAGTCACTCTTACTCTTGTAAAATGTCACAGAGAATTCTGTGACTTTTTCAGTTTGTTGCCTGGTTTAAGGGAAATTCCCAGTTGTGTTCTTTGATTTGCTATTTAACTTGTTGTAATTTGAAATGAATCAGTTTAGGATGTTCATGAAACTTACTGTGATTCAGAAAATGTTAGGTGAGAATAACTAGTTCATTATCCCATTCATCCCTTTAAGCTTCAGCGGGACCTACCTGGACTGGAAAGGAACCCATGGCTTAAACAAATCTTCTTAGCAAAAATCCTCCCTAAGCTGTGTGTTCTTCTCTAGAGCTGAGGACTGAGACTATCTGAATGCCAAAATACAGCTTCTAGCTAAGAATCCTGTGATTAACCAGCTTTGGGCTGTTTGGAACAGTGAAAATTTTCCAGTAGCCCCCGTAACCTTGCATATAAGTGGAACTCGTTTTTATTAATAAACAGTTTTGGAAACAATGAGTTTTGTGGAAACTGGAAAATTTCCAGTGAAATTTTTAATGTTTCTCTCCCCCCCCTTTTTTTTTTTTTTAACTTTTTGTTATATGAGAATAGAATAGAATAGACTCTCATGGACCCTTTATCCAGCTTCAGTAGCTATGAACACATGATCAGCTGTGTTTTATGTATACTATCCCTCACTGCCCTACTTCCCTTTCCCCTCATTTCTTTTGAAGCCAAGTCCTAAGCATCATTTTACTCATAAATTTTAAAACTGAGTATTAATTGGGCCTCTGGTCTTGTAGTGTAGCACTACTCAAAATGTGTGGTCCATGGAAGATATGTACAGAAATGGAGAGTGGACTTTTAGAAACTCTCATGGCAGTTACATTGTTGTCACATTTTTAGCATATTTAACAAAAAATGGATTGACAAAAGGAAGACTGATTCATCACAGACTTTGAGAAGCACTGTTCTAGTTTGTGTAGCAATAAATTAGTATATTTTCTTGATTAAGCTGTCATGTCTCTTAATATAAGGTATACTGTTTATTAGTCTCACAAGGACAGCATGAGGGTCTTTTGTATGGCTTTGACCTCCAGTGGATGTAAGAAAAGTAGCGATATTTGTTAAGTTCTGAGTCAGAAGATGGTCAGCCAGCTAAATATCCTTGACATTTGTTTCAGCTTCAGTTTGTCATTTTGTTTATAATTTTTTTCTTTAAAATGGCATATAGTTTCTCTAGCCTCATTCTTCAGAAATAGCCCCGGTTTCTCTTTTCTGTTTTACTGGTATAAATACCTGTGCCATCTTAGGTCTGTGGAAAGACTTTCATCTATAAACATGGTCTAAAATTGCACCAGAGTCTCCATCAATCACAAAAGCAGTTCCAGTGTGAACTATGTGTTAAGTCATTTGTTACCAAACGGAGTCTTCAAGAACATATGAGTATTCACACAGGTAATGAGAAATTTGTATTAACTTAGCTACCCATTATATACCATAATTCAGTTAATTATTGTGCTATATATGTTTTAGAAATTATATTGATATACTAACGGCTGTGTATGTGCAGTTTTTTTCATTAACGCTGGGGTGCCTGGGTGGCTCAGTCAGTTAAGTGTCTGAGTTCAGCCCAGGTCATGGTCTCACATGTTCATGAGTTCGAGCCCTGTGTCAGGCTCTGTGCTGACAGCTCAGAGCCTGGAGCCTGCTTCAGATTCTCTCTCTCTCTCTCTCTCTCTCTCTCTCTCTCTCTCTCTCTGCCCTCTTCCACTTGCACTCTGTCTCATTCTCAAAAATAAATAAACATTTAAAAAAATTCAAATTAAGGCTAAAAAGTGTTCTTTAAATCTAGTTTAGAGCTATCTTATTGGTATAAAAAGTCATTGTTTCCCTCAGTGTAGCAAAATGTGTACTCACTAGTGAATCATGCATAATTTAGATAATGTAGCCATGGCTAGTGAAGGGTAGATATCGGCTCTAGAACTTGCGTTCACCTCTGTATTATTATAATCCAGATGATTATGCAAGCGTGTCACATTCTTTGGGTAGTGGTAGTAGCCTTGCTAGTACTGTAGTTGAGAAGAAACAGAAGATTTTGACTTGGCTTGTTGTTGTTCTGAGAAGATGGCTGCCAAATGTTACAGCTTCTGTGTCCCTTTGGTAAAGTAACTTCTGAAGTGTAACATAAAGTATTCTGTTGGAAGAGCACCTGATTGCTGGATTTGTGACATGTTTTTTATTTTTTATAGGAGAGTCCAAGTACCTTTGCTCAGTTTGTGGAAAGTCTTTTCACAGGGGCTCTGGCCTCAGCAAGCACCTAAAGAAACACCAGCCAAAGCCTGAAGTTCGAGGCTATCATTGTACTCAGTAAGTATTTAATACACAAACTATTTAGTTTCCTTGTGTTTCTTAATAGGTTTATTTGAAAATTGTTTTCAGAAGAAAATATTTGAGGTAGCTATAGTTGATAATACTATTATATAATTGAAATTTGATAAAGGAGTAGAACTTATACACACACACATATATATATACATATATCTGACATGATGGATACATTAAATGGGAGGAATCCTTTCACAATGGATATATGTATCAAACCATTATGATGTGCATTTCAGATATCTTACAATTTTATAACTTGATAAACCTGAAAAAAACTGTTTGAAGATAATATTCAATTGTTACTTATTTTTTATTTTAATGTCTTTTTTTTGCCTAGATATTGCTATTTATGGTTTTTAAGTTTTATTTAGATATCCTATACCATATAAATCACTCACTTGAAATACTTTAAAGACATTCTTCAAACGTACTACTTGGAGGCAGAGATTGTAGGAAGTGAGAGCCCCCAGTGCGAGCCAGAGATTTTTTTCTAGGTTGTTCATCTAAAGTGCTAAGCCGTCTGCTAGTTTTTCCTCTCTTTAGACTCTTTTTCTTCTCTTCCTCTTTTTATTTTCCAAAGCATCTTGAAATGTCTTTTATAGTTGAGGTAAAACTCACAAAAAATTCATCATTTTAAAGTGTACAGTTCACTAACTTTTAGTACATTCAGTACATTGTGGAAACATCACCACTGTCTGATTCCAGAATGCAGGCCCTTTTGGGGGGATCCTTGAGGGAGTCACCGGATAGGTCCAAAGAGACCAGCACAGTTCTTTAAGAAGAAGTCCCTCTGGCACCAGGAGCCCATCATGGGAATGCAGTCTTCATGGCTGCTGCTCAGCTGAGAAGCAGGGAAAGGGGATCAGGGGAGTTCAAATGCTACAAAGCTCTCTCACAAGATTTAATGATTTTTTTAATTTTTTTTAACGTTTATTTATTTTTGAGACAGCATGAATGGGGGAGGGTCAGAGAGAGAGGGAGATACAGAATCCGAAGCGGGCTCCAGGCTCTGAGCTGTCAGCACAGAGCCCGACACGGGACTGAAACCCACAAAGTGGGAGATCATGACCTGAGCCGAAGTCGGATGCTTAACCGACTGAGCCACCCAGGCACCCCTGATTTTTTTTTTAATTAAACACTTGCCTGGCCACTGTACACTTTTAATCCATTTCTGGGGTTCTAATAAAATTGATCCTCATAGTTTTGGCTAGTTTTGGCCACTGCTTTTGTGAGCGTGTGGGGTTTCCTACTCTACCATATTTTCTTTTCTCACTTTTATTAGTCTTATTATAAAAAAAAATATTTTAGGAGTGCCTGGGTGGCTCACTCGGTTAAAGGTCCGACTTCAGCTCAGGTCATGAACTTGCGGTTTGTGGGTTTGCATTGGGCCCTGTGCTGACAGCTCAGAGCCTGGAGCCTGCTTCGGATTGTGTCTCCCCTCTCTCTCTGTTCCTCCCCTGCTCGTGCTCTGTCTCACAAAAATAAAGGTTTAAAAAAAATTTTTTTAATAAAATTATTTTATTATTAATAGATTTTTAGTTGCAAGTGAAAGAAAACACTACCTAAACTGGCCTGAATGAAAGGTGGTAAAATCTAGGGAGTTTGAATAGTTTAATGTAAACTAGATTCACATCTGTTAGTTAGCACTTGGTCTCTGAGACTCTGTGGACATGGCAGTAACAATGGTTTCAGCCTCACATCCTCTCGACTCCCAAATTGTCAAGCTGCTTTTCTGGTAGTTCCTATACAGGTTCTGAGATTGACGCCCATTGGATCTAGTTAAGTCATTCGATTATCCCTGGATCAGTAATTATAGCCAAGGGAATGCTGTGCTCTGATTGACTCAGGCCTGAGACAATTGCTCCATCTTTATGGTCGATGGTGAGGCCTACTCCAAACACATGGACGGAAAGTGGGCGAGGATAAAAAGGGAGATCAGATGGGGTTTAGGGAGAGAAAGAAAATAAATGTCTTATATAATAGCCTTTGAGAGCTCTGCATGGTTCTTTCTAAAATGTTTCTAGTACTAGAAACAAAACAAACCAGCAAAGGGAAAAAAGAGGGTGTGGGGCAAGCCAAGAAACAGACTCTTAACTATAGAAAACAAACCAAGGGTTACTAGAGGGGCTGTGGGTGGGAAGATGGGTTAAATAAGTGATGGGGATTAAGGAGTGCACTTGTTTCGATGAGCCCTGGATGTACAGAAGTTTTGAATCACTATATTGTACCCCTAGTATCACATTGTAGATTAACTCACTGGAATTTAAATAAAAACATTAAAAAGTAAAATGTCTCTAGTAGTTAAGAGCTAAAAGAACTTAAAACCTTGAAGCCTTTACTACAAGATTGGAATAGTAGGAATAGTGTTTTCAATTGGGATCATTTTCTAGAGTTATAAAACCCAAAAATATACTGAGTCTTGGAAATTTGTTTTAAAAAAATAATACAGTGATCTGATCGAGTTCTTGAATTTTATTGCAGATGTGAAAAAAGTTTCTTTGAAGCTAGAGATCTTCGTCAGCACATGAACAAACATCTTGGTGTGAAGCCATTCCAGTGCCAATTTTGTGATAAGTGCTATAGTTGGAAGAAAGATTGGTATTCCCATGTGAAGTCTCATTCTGTCACTGAGCCTTATAGGTAGGTAGATTGGAGCAGGATCTGAACTTAATTGAGATGTATGTACTTGGATTAATTTTTTTGTATGCTGGTGCTTTGGAAAAAATAATTTAGGTCCCCCCCCCATTATAGGTGTAATATATGTGGCAAAGAATTTTATGAAAAAGCATTGTTCAGAAGGCATGTAAAGAAAGCTACCCATGGAAAAAAAGGAAGAGCGAAGCAGAACCTGGAACGGGTATGTGAACAATGTGGAAGAAAATTCACTCAGCTAAGAGAGTATAGGAGACACATGAACAACCATGAAGGTAACTATACTTCATCCTGTGTATATATGTAAATAGAATAAAAAGCCAGTCTAATCGTGATTCCCCCTTTACCAGCCTTCTTGCCTGTTACCTCACCTTCCTTGACAAGAGATGAATTCTATATTATGTAAGATTTATTCACGTGATTGAGGTGATCCTGAACGTGGATACCTGATTGTTGTGTATGTAGATGGATTCCTTTTTTAGTGAGCTTAATATTGTAGGTCAGCATTTTTATGCTGAACTGGGCTATTTGAAGCTTCTGTTTCCTTATCCTAAGATTACAGGATTGCTGGGAAGGTTAAATGAGACTGTTCATGGAATCAGAATTGCCTCTCAGTAACTTGTATCTCTGGGAACACCTCTCTCTCTTAATAGGAGTTAAGCCATTTGAATGCTTAACATGTGGAGTAGCTTGGGCTGATGCCCGATCTCTAAAACGCCACGTCAGAACGCATACTGGTGAACGGCCCTACGTCTGCCCTGTATGTAGCGAAGCCTACATAGATGCTCGAACCCTCCGTAAACATATGACTAAATTCCACAGAGATTATGTGCCTTGCAAAATTATGCTGGAAAAAGATACCCTTCAGTTTCATAACCAAGGAACTCAAGTCGAGCATGCTGTTAGTATCTTAACAGCAGACATGCAGGAACAAGAAAGCAGTGGTCCTCAAGAACTTGAGACTGTGGTCGTGACAGGAGAGACCATGGAAGCACTCGAAGCCGTGGCAGCTACGGAAGAGTGTCCATCAGTATCTACGCTTTCTGACCAAAGTATTATGCAAGTGGTTAATTACGTGTTGGCACAACAGCAAGGACAGAAGCTGTCTGAAGTTGCAGAAGCGATTCAAACTGTCGAAGTAGAGGTGGCACATATTTCAGAAACAGAGTGAATATAGTCTTGGAGAAAGAAAGAAGGGTCCTAGCATTGTATACTGAACTCACAGAACATTTGTTTACAGTACTGTGCGACTGTCTGCCTAAAGCCTGTATGTCAAGGCTCTGGGCTCTTGGGTGAGATTTTAACACTTCTAAACGATTTGTCTGGCTGATAGGTTCTGTTGAAAAGTCCATTTACTGTAAAGAAGTTGAAAACAAATGTACTTGATGGCATTGGTTTATCATGGTGTACTTTTTATGAATTGATGTTTATAAAGGACTGTAGTAAATTAAAAACTGTATAGTTTCACTTGCATTTTGACATGATCATCTACTTTGAGTTTAAAAGGCTGTACTAGTCAGATTTTCTTCTTTTATTCTCAAAATAGGTTCTGTGATTTCATTTGCCCTGTTTATAGGTCTAAAAAAAATTCTAATATAAAGCATTTTAGTAGGATGCATAGGTACATTACATTTTTAAAATGCTTCAGGTCTGTGATTCTTGACTTACTATTTATTTTAACCCCTTATAAGTCAGGGATTTATTCTGTTTTAAAGCACTTAATGAGTTACATGTTGTAATCAAGTTTGCACAGTATACTTATCTATATGGGGAGCCCTTAAATACATAGCTGATTTTTAAAATGCATGAAATGCCTATTAAAGCCTTACTATATACTATCTCTTCAAGGCAAGTAAATTGACCACGAGCAAAGAACACTGTTATTAAACACTGTTGATGGGAAATTTCTTCTTGATAACATGGGACAATAAATGGAAAAAAAAAGATCTCATTCTTTTGCTGAAAGAATGAACAAGTTAAAACTAGATTTGGTATGTTTGCAGCTTTTGTATCATGTTTAATTGTTCAATTTTGTTGAAAAACTGCAATTTAGAAATAGGATAGCAATATAGACATCTAAAGCGGTCCTGAGGATACCATATAATTGTTGAGTAACTTCAGAATAGTGAAGTCTTCAATTCAGCCCTCATTATAGTATACTACTCAAAGAAATTGATTATGGTCCACCAAATTGTTGGAAGTAAATTATTTTTAAAAGTTACCTGTGAATTATATTAATTTGTGTGTTTGATTTTTAAATTCCCACTTGTAGAAGCTATCCAGTTTTCTGATTTTCAAAATAACCATAGGGAGATGCCACATTTCTCTCCTGTGGGTAGCTACCACTCAAACTATAATTGTTAAAATTAAACTTTTTAAGTATTAGCAGCTAATATAAAGTATAAAATGAAAATAAAAGCAAATCACATGTAAATCATTCCTAAAGCACAAGAAAAGAATGTGCCTTGATGTACATATATTAAGATACTTATTCCAGTTTACTTTAAGAATAGCTTAAAAGATAAAGAATAAATGTGATGCCATGCATGCGTTCTACCTGCATATGTAATATTTGCATTTGCAAATTTCCCATTGTCTCTATAGCTGTGTGGCTGACTTTTGAATTTTAAGTGAATTGACATACAGTCTATAACTTTACAATGGCTGCTTGTTTATTGTATCTTTCAGTTAGTGAAAATGTGTTTCAACCTGACTAAAATTTGGAATTGTGTCTTTTATGTTCCATCCTCACTGTTATTAGATTTAGTTAATGTATAAGACCGTTGATGTATGTCAAAAATATGTAAATAAAACATGTCGAATCTTGTTTAAAAGCATAAGCTTTGGAGTTGAGCTTGTCACTATTTTCAAATTATAAATCAGTGGCCGTTATTTGATAGGTTGATTCAGTTTTATAGTGGTATGGGGGGGATCTTCTCTGTTTACAGTTCCTTTTTAGAAACACGCACTGTTTTGTTGCTGTCAGTGACTTTCCCCATTGGGCACTCCCAATTATCACTACTGCTGCTAAGCAGTTTGAGTCTTTGCTGTTAGTCACTGAAACGTATATGTTGTTGATAGAAATGAATTAATTTTCTAACACGGTTTTTAATCTGTTTTATTAAAAGTGGCTCACAGAATTTCACAAGGTTGCCTGAACTGCTGGGCTTAGAGCTAATCCAAACCTTCATTCAGTGTTTTGTGATTTTTAATAGCATTGGTGTAAACTGTGCATGCATGATATTTCCTGCTCATGATTCTTGTCAAAACTATATCTCTTGGGAGTTCCTAAATTTACATCTAATGTTTGGAACATACACAATAAAAGCCTTTCCTTCCCCTGATCTTATATATTTGATCAGTTACAGTTTATAGAGGCTTGTGGAGCAAAGGTACATAAGTAACTTATTTAATCAGTTTAAATATATCATGCTTGGGGTCCCTGAATGACTTGGTTGGTTAAGCTTCCAACTCTTGACTTAAGCTCAGGTCATGATCTCACATGGGATTGAGACCTATATGGGGCTCTGCCCTTGGCAGTGCAGAACCTGCTTGGGATTCTCTCTCTCTCACCCTTTGTTTCCACCCTCCCCCCCTCCATTTGCTCTCTCTCTTTCTCTCTCTCAAAATAAATATTTAAAAATATGCTTATAAAGTTTAAATACTGTTTATTTGATTTTTCCTTGAGAGTTTTATAAATTTTAGAGTATGAACTCCTCTCCAATAGAGCCTTATATTTAGGAAGCCTGTGCCACCCACCTAGGTTGAGGGTGGGTCCTTCCAGATCAGTTTTTTGTTTACTTCTGCTAGGAGTCTCCAGGAGTATCAGTGGTTAGGTACTATGGTTTCTTGGACCATTGCCTGTAAACTTGAACTTCAGGCGAGTCTGAGGGCAAATTCGTTGTTCTAAATCTTCAAGGGAGACCTTTTGCCCACTGAGAGCCCAGCCTGGGACAGACAAATTCACACATCTGCCTACACTAGGGAACTGTTTCTTTTCTTTCTTACTTTTTTCTTTTCTTCTTTTTTCTTTTCTTTTCCTTTCTTTTTCTTTTCTCTTTTTTTTCTTTCTTCTTTTCTTCTTTCTCCCTTCCTTCTTTTCCTTCTCTTCCTTTCCCTTCGTTGTGTATTTTGAGAGGGAGGAGAGAAAGAATCCTAAGCAGGCTATACATTGAACACAGAGCCTTGTTGGGTTGAGGGGGACAGGGCTAGACCTTGATCTCATAAACTGTGAGATCATGACTGAAATCAAGAGACATTTAATGGACTGAGCCAGCCAGGTGCCCCTGAACTGAGTTTTTTCTTAATTGTTCTTTTATTGAAGATGTAGTTCTTAAGTGGTCCCAGGTTTTAAAAAGAGCTTTTTTTCATTTTATGTGTAAGTAGGGCCTTATGCCCAATGTGGGTCTTGAAATCCTGACCCTGAGATCAAGAGTCACATGCTCTGCTGACTGAGCCAGCCTGGTGCTCAGTTGTCTCAGTGTTGTGTGGAATTACTTTTTCCAGTTTCTGTAGACCTAAATCCTGATGTTTCCTTTTAGCTGTCAAAAGCCAGCCTCTCTGAAACGGCCAATCTCATCTGTCACAAGGCTACTACACGTTTAATTCAGTTTCCTCTTATTTGGGGACCCTAGAACACTGCATTTCTTATAAACTTAGTACTGTGATTTTCAAAGGAGTTTGTTACATTTTATCTAGTGGAGAGTTTCAGGTATTTTAATCTCTTCCAAACTCTGGAAACCAAATCATGTTGTTTCTTTATATATTTTCCCCTCTGTTTACTCTTTACTTCCAAAAGTTTTATTTCTATCCTCAATACCTCTTTCATTTCCCCTCATCTTAGCTACCATTTCTCATAACCTTGGTGTTCCTCAACCTGATCTTCAACTGTTCTTAATTGTATATTCATTTTAAAAATTATATTTCTGGGGGCACCTGGGTGGCTCAGTTAAGCGTCTTTTTTTTTTTTTTTTAAGTTTATTTATTTTGAGAGAGAGAGCAAGTGGGGTAAGGAGAGAGGGAAAGAGAGAATCCCAAGCAGGCTCCATACTGTTAGCACAGAGCCTGATGCAGGGCTCAAACTCACAAACCGTGAGATCATGACCTGAGCTGAAATGAAGAGTTGGGACACCTAACCAACTGAACCAGCCAGGCACTCCTGAGTGTCCACCTCTTGATCTTGGCTCAGGTTATGATCTCACAGTTTGTGGGTTCGAGCCCCGCACTGGGCTCTGCACTGACAGCATGGAGCCTGCTTGAGGTTCTCTCTCCCTCTATCTCCCCATCCTATCTCTCTCTCTCAAAATATTTATTTATTTATTTATTTCTGGGTGCCTGGCTGGCTTGGCCAGTAGAGCATGAAACTTGATCTGAGGGTCATGATTTCAAGCCCTATGTTGGGCATGGAGCCTACTTAAAAAAAATAAAGACTAAAGAACACCTGGGTGGCTCAGTCAGTTGAGTGTCCCGACTCTTGATTTTGGCTCAGGTCATGATCCCAGGGCCATGGGATGAAACCCTATATCAGCTCCCATGCTGAGCATGGAACCTGCTTGAGATTCTTTCTCTCCCTCTGCCCCTCTCCCCTGCTCGATCTCTTTCTCAAAAAATAAAATGATAAAGATTGAAAAAAAATTTTCATGTTTATTTGAGAGAGCACAAATGGGAAGGGGCAGAGAGAATCCCAAGCAGGGTCTGCACTGTCAGCTCAATCTCATGAATGTGAGATCATGACCTGAGACAAAATCAAGAGTCGGATGTTTAACCAACTGAGCCACCCAGGCGCCCCTAAAATTATATTCCTTATACTAGCATTTACAGTTGGTTCTTCATAGGTGCTTATTCCTGCTTCCCTTTTCCATTCATCGTATTTTGCTGGTTGGATGTATTATGTTCATTTTAAATTCTTGCTGTGTTCTTGTGCTCTGCAAAAAATTACATGTGTATACCACAACTTCACATTCTACCACTGATGGATGTTTGGGTTATTTTCAGTTTAGGGTTATCCTGAAGAATGCTGTAAGGACCATTTTTATTTCCTTGGCATTTATGGGTATGCTTTTCTGTTGGGTACGTGACTTACAGTAGAATCTGAGGTACTTGGATTTGTGACCCAAAATATTTTCCAAAGAGATTATTCCAATTACCCTCACCAGTGGCGGCTGCTCAGTG